TGCAGAGGTTCCCATTGCCTGGGAGGAATTTATCCAGGGCAGGATGGGAGTGCAACCTGGGCTGGTGTCCTAAATCGGAATGTAGGGGACCCAGGTGGGTGCTCTTGGTTTCAGAGAAGGACATAGAAGGTTCTGGTGTCCTTTATCTATGTTTTACAGATTGTAGTAAGATGCTCATAGCATGCAATTTACTATCTTAACCCTTTTAATTGTATAGCTCAGTAAGAATATTTAGATTGACCTGCCATCAGTTTCCAGAACTCTTTTCATCTTGTAAACCTGAAACTCTGGACCCATTAAGCAGTACTGCCTACCTTTCCCCCACCCCCAGGCCTCTACCCTTCCACTTTATGTCTCTGTGAATTCGACTACTTCTTGTAGCTCATCTAAGTAAAACCATGCAGCATTTGTCTCTTTGTGACTGGCTTATTTCACTTAGCACAGTGTCCTAGGTTTCGTCCATGTTGTAACACATTCAGAATTTCACTCCTTTTTTAAGCTGGGTAGTATTTCAGTGTGTATGGACCACATTTACTTATTCATTCTCCCAGTGACGGACACTTGGGTTGCTTCCACCTTTTGGTTCCTGTGGGCAATGCCACTATCAGCATGGATGCACAAATATCTCTTTAAGACTGCTTTTAATTCTTTTGGCCATCCACCCAGAAGCAGGGGCATTCATCCGGTAATTCTAGTATTTCTCGAGGAACTGCTGCATCAGTTGCTATGGCAGCTGCACCCTCTCGGCATCCTCTTTACCTGGACGGTTCCATCCTGGCTGGCCTCTTCTGTGGCATTAGAGGGAGCCCAACATGAGGAAGGGGTGGTGGTGATTGTTCAGATCATGCTACCTGCTCTCTGTGTATCTGTCTCAGGCAGGCAAGAGTCAACGAGGGAGGTAAGGTGGAGGCAAGGAAGTCTAAGGTGGATATTTGGGGAGTCCAGGGAATCAGTGGGAGTCATTTATTTTGCACAGGGATAAATGGTTTTCTCCTTAATTTCTGGGAGAATGGAGAGCCAGGGCTTTCTTGATTACTGGGTATTCAGAGGTGTACAGAGAATCACCTCCAGATTTCCTTTGGGGCTTTAGGTATAAATGTGCCAGACTTAAGAACTGATAATATCAAAAAGAGAGGAAGAAGAGGAGGAGGAAGGGGGGAGGAAGGTGGAGAGGAAAGGAGAAGGAAAGAGAAGCCAGTGAAACAGTTGTGGCAGGCAGCCTCCTGCCTCTTGCCTGACAAGGTTGCTGAGGATGGGAGTGCTATTTGCATGCGAAGTGGTGGTCCGGGTCTCCTGCTGCTTCTAATGCCGCAGCACCATGGTATGGTGTGGCATGATCAGGGCCTTCATTAAGCATGTGGAAGTGTCTCTGACTTGTAAATCTTGCTGCTTTATTGCTAGGATTGAGCTTGCACCACACCCTTTTGAAGTGAGAATTATGTGGGTCACCAAGGTGAGGACCTATAGGTCTATAGATTTGGGAGACACATTATTATTGCCCAGAGCGTTCCCTACTTCTTCCAAATCCTGTAGCTTTGGTTGGGTTGCCTTCCATTTCATCATGGACAACAACCCCAGTGAAATTACCTCCCTTTCATTCATTTTAAAAGAAATGTGCTGGCCAGCATCCCATATGGGATCCAGTTCAAGTCTCAGCTGTTCTACTTCTGATCCAGCTCCCTGCTAACACACCTGGGAATACAGTGGAAGATGGCTCAAGTGATTGGGTCCTTGCACCCATGTGGGAGACTGGAAAGAAGCTCCTGGCTCCTGGCTTTGGATCAGCACAGCTCCAGCCATTACAGACATTTGGGGAGTGAACCAGCGGATGGAAGACCTCTCTTTCTGACTCCGTCTCTCTCTCTCTCTCTCTCTAACTCTGCCTTTCAAATAAATAAATAAATCTTTTTTTTAAAAAAGTAATGTGTGGCTACCAACTAAAGTGTATGAAGGAAAAAAAACCCTACCCCAAAGGGTAACCATTATTTAACTGTTTTAGTGTCTAAATCATTCTATGTACACGAAGCCCAGCCACTTATGTACACATACAAATGTTTATATATATATATATGACTTTATTATATATAAGAGAGAAAGAGAGAGAGAGAGCGGTCTCCCATTTGCTTTTTCACTCCCCAAATGTCTGCAATAGCCAAAGATTGGGCCAGGCTGAACAAGGAGCAAGACGCTCCATCCAGGTCTCCCATGTGGCTGGCAGGGACCAAAGCACTTGAGCCACCACCTGCCTTCCGGGGTATGTATTACAGGGACCTGGACTCAGAACTGGAACCTGAACTTGAGCCCAGGCACTCTAATATGGGACGCAGGCATTCCAGCATCGTCTTAACTGCTGTGCCAAATACAAAGGTGGCAAAATTAGTTTCTATTAATTCCAGGCCAAATATTACTAAGTGCACAGATAATTCTCTGTGTGACCCTTTACCATTATAAACAACTGTTAGTGCTGTTGAACTTCGTAAACATTACGGTAGCTCCTTTTGATGCACAGTTTCACATTTCAGCGTCAGTTACTCACAGCCACCAGTTGTTTGAAAATATTAAATGGAAAAGTCTAGAAAACAAAATCCTAAAGCTTAAGTGGTGTGCCGTTCTGAGCGTCATGGAGACAGCTCTGCCTGCATCATTCCATCTCGCCCAGGACATGAGTCATCCCTTTGCTCAGCACATCCGCTGTGCACCGTGTGTGTGTGGAGGAAGGAACATGGATGCATACGTAAGGTTCTGTGCTTTCTGTGGTTTCGGGCATCCACTGGGGACCTTAGAACATGTTCCCTGCGGACAAGGGAGGACGACACTATTTCATGTTGGTGTTAGTCTCACTTAACAGAAAATAAAAGGTTGGAGAGACTAAGGTGCTTGTCCAAATTTATATCACAGGTTGGAAGCAGAATTGGGACAAGAATCCAGGTCTTTGAGATAACTTTCAGGCCCTGCAATCTTTCTCTTACACTACAGCATCTACAGTAGACATTGGGGGCCACATATGACCTTCAGGAAAGATTCAAACTCACCGCCTGCATAAAAACCTTCCGTTTTTGATCCATTGTGCCAATCTTTTTTTTAAAAAAATTATTTATTTATTTGAAGTCAGAATTACAGAGAGGAAAGGAGGAAGGGGGAGACAGCATTTTTTAAAAAATATTTTATTTATTTATTTGAGAGAGAGTGAGAGGGAGAGACAAAGATAAAGATCTTCTATCTGCTGGTTCGCTCTCCAAATGGCTACAGTGGCCGGGGCTGAGCTGATCTGAAGCCAGAAGCCAAGCATCTGGGCCATCTTCTTCTGTTTTCCCAGGCCACAGCAGAGAGCTGGATCAGAAACAGAGCAGCTGGGACTAGAACTGGTGCCCATATGGGATGCCAGTGCCACAGATGGAGAATTAACCTACTGAGCCACAGCACCGGGCCCAAGAGTTAGTTCTTACTTCTGCTGGTTCACTCCCCAAATGGCTACAAAGGCTAGGGCTGAGCCAGGCAGAAGCCAGGGATCAGAGCATCTTTGGGGTCTCCCACATGGCTGCAGGAGCCCAAGCACTTAGGCCATCTGCCACTGCTTCCCCAGGCCATCAGCAGGGAGCTGGACGGGTAGTGGAGCAGCCAGGACATGAAACTGGCACCCATATGGTGCTGGCATTGAAGGCAGGTGACAGCTTTACCAGCTAGGCCTCAACACTGGCCCCATCAATTTATCTTATATTTGGATGCACACTCTACTCATTTATGAATAGAGTAAGAATTGGGCTTATTAGAATAAGCATGAATTCAATAGAATCAGAGAGAAGACAGCTGTTAGCCTGGAAAATATTCTTAGTATTCATGGGTGTGTTGGCCCCCATAAAGTTTACTCATGAAATTATCTTGCTAATGGATGTGCCTTGAACTTCTATTCCTGGGGTTTTATAAGAAGTAAACTGGAGTAATCTTTTTGCCCACCCAAGTTGCCAATTCTGTTTTATAGCAATTGGCAATGAAGTGTTTTTTCTTAATTGTTTTTATTTATTTACTTGAAAAACAGAGAGGGAGGGAAGTGGGGGGAGAGGAGAGAGAGAGAGCACCTTAATGTGTAGATTTATGACCCAAATGCCCACAACAGGCAGGGCTGGGCCGATTGAAGCCAGGAGTCAGGAACTCAATCTGAGTTTCCTTTGTGAGTGGCAGGGACCCAAGTACTTGAGTCATCACCTGCTGCCTCCCAGGGTGCACATTAGCAGGAAGCTGGAGTTGGAGTGGAGCTGGGCCTTGAATCCAGACTCTGGTATGGAATGCAGGCGTCCCAAGCAGTGCCTCAACTGCTGCGCTCAGTGCCTGCCCCAGGAAAAGAAGTTTTCATCTTCTTCTTTGAAATAGAGCAATGATTATTTTTCCTTGCTGACTTCATTTTTTCAAGTACCTGAACTAATTAGGAGCAGTTTACCTAAAGACATATTCCTGGGGTGGGCTTCACCCTCACCCCAGATCACCACCCTGCATGTCTATATCCCATCTCAGAGTGTCAGGGCCAGTCCCAGCTTCTCTGCTTCTGTTTTAGCTTCCTGTTGCTGTGCCTGGGAGGCAGCAGGTGATGGTTCCAGTACCCGGGTCCCTGCCACCCACATGGGAGACTTGGGCTGAGTGCTGGGCTCCTGACTTTGGCCTGAACCACTCCTGGCTGTTGCAGGCATTTGGGGAGTGTATCAGTAGATAGAAGGGCATTCTCTCTGTTCTGTTTCTCTGCATAAAATAAAATAAAATAAAATAAAATGTTTCCCTTCCTTCTTGAGAACATAGCTTTAGATTTTTGTATAGTGACAGAAATGCTTATGTGATTTTGGAGTTAAATTCTTTTAATCTTTTTCACCTCACAGGAACTGTGAGGGGAGTTGTTCATGATTTGTGCTTTATTGCCTTTTGCTATGAAATTTTCCTTGCCTGCAAAAATGAGCGTGATGAGCCTCATGTCCTTTATTTACCACTCCCTGTGAGAAAGGGTAAAACAGAAGATTCTGTGACGGCCTCACTGGTGGAGGACAATGCTGCTGGTGACTGGTAGATGGGAAGGGGAGGAAAACTTACTGTGGTTCTGTACTGAAGAGGATTGGATCCAGCTTTATAGGAGACAGAAATACCTTACAATCATAACATAAAAGAGACAACAATTAATTTCAGAAGAAGTTCAGAGTTGGAACTGATATGGTTCCTCCATGCTGTTTTTGGCTACTCAGTTTCCCGAGATCATAAGACTATCATTCTAAGGTTGTAGCTTTTGTCTATCATCTTTATGCCCCAGGATGGCTGCTAGAGCTCCAGCCATTTTAACTGTGTTTCTTTTAAAGAGGAGGAACTTCCTAGAAATTCTATATAACTTCTGCTTATGTCTTATTGTTCAGAACTTTGCCCTATGACCACAGTTAGCTGCAAGGTAGGTTGGAATATATCGTATTTATTATTTATGGAAAGAAGCTGGAATAAAAAGTGAGTTTATGTTTTTGCAAAGGGGAAAAATGGATATTGAGGGGTAAATAGCATTCTTTGAGAAGGTCCATCCATTTTGCTACCCAAGTACTCATGTAAACACTTCTTGTACCTTCCTGCTCCGTAAAGTATGATGTTAAGGACTGGAGATTCAGAGCCATCCTGGAGCAAGATGAGAACATAAAAAAAGACACAACAGAGCAAGACGAGGCAAATCCCTTGAGCCCCTGGTACCATGGGCAGACTACTCCTGGACCGCTTGTGGGAGAGAAACACACCTCTGTTCATTTGTTCCCATGGTTGCAGCTGAAACTCACATTAATTGACACAAATATAACCTAAACCTAAAGAGGAGCTTTCTTTTTAAGGCTGTATCTTACTGTGCTTCCAGGGCAGGTGGACCGACCACTCACCCATCCATCCGGGTCTTTCAGGGATGCTGGCATTCAAAGGTGACCAAGGTGTAGGTCTTACCCACAGGAGCTCACACTCTAACAAGGAACAGAAAGCCAGTCAAATCAGGGGCCTGCAGGGAGAGCACAGAAACATTTGCAACCTCCTCTACTGCCATTTTTAGACTGGCGCAAAAACAAAGTTTATAAGTAAATTTCAGATATTGATCATAGCATCTTTTTCTCCATCATTAACATTGTCATGTTCATCATCTACAGTTATTGCTTGGGTAAATAAAATTCAGGTGCTATTACTTTTTATATTAGAAGGATGATTGTATTGGATTAAGCGTTTATAATCCCTTGAGAATATTTCACTATAATTGGAGTAGAACATTTTTGCATAAAACAAAAGATAGACTGGCTAGCTGTAATCATAGTCAGGAGGTGGTGAACATTTTAGGTGAAAAAATATACTTTTTATGTGAATCCCCAGGTAGGCTGAATCCTTATTTACAATTCTTGTTGGCATGACAACATCCACAGCACTTCTGTGTTCTAAACAGTTCTTATATTGTTTAATTTTTCATAGCAACTTCTGTGTTGCAGATGAGGAACCCAGAGTTCGTAGAGTCAAGGTAACCCACCAAGGTCACATCCGTCAGTGGCCAGTAGTGGAGCCAGGATTTGAACGCATGTCTAAGCCGACTCTTGGATTCCGTTCAAGTGTGAACAGTACCTTTGCCAGGAAGACTTAGCCGTGGAAGCAGAAGCGGGAGGGTGATGGAAGCTGAGGAGGAAGCAGGTTCAGCTTTCGTGAGGTTTCCCTGCTCAGAGAGGAGGCCGTGGCTGCAGTTATCAGGTAACTGAAGTGTCACCGCGATGCTGTCAGAAAGGCGGGATGGATTGGTTCCTGTTGGTTCCGGCGTGGCAGCTAAGCAAGTTCGCAAGGTAAGAAACTCTCCCGCAGTCGTGGGAGTTCCTCTTCAGAAGCGACTCTGCTAACATGCAAAATCAATGTCACTGAAGTTTTGCTTATGTTGCTGCCTCCGATGCTGTTTGATCCTTACATAAAAGAGACATTTGTCATTTGTCGGGGCTGAGACAGGGAAAGGCGCGGGAGGCTTCCCCAGCTGGGTTGCTTTGTGCCTGCAAACTCTGCCTGCCTAGGTTGCCTTGGTAGGCCCCCCTTGCCCTTTGCCATTGATGGATTACTGCCTGCACTCCCGATGACCTTGAAGGACAGCCCTCCATCATCATGCCAATTTTGGCAGTGACAGAAAATGCTAGAGCTCCTTGACTTTGCCTTAATAACTTCCTGCTCCTTTTTTTTCCTTCCAGTCTCTGGATTCCTACCCTTCTTCCTTCAAGTGACTTTTGGCTTCCAGAGAACTCTCCTCCCCCTTTTCTACTCCCCTGCCCCAACCTTGGAGCTCACCCCATCCAGAACCAGAAAGGAGTGACTTACATGGGAGAGCTGCCCAGTGGGCTTGGATAGTCAGCACTTTAACCCTGATCTCGATTCAGCTTCTGCCTGGATCAATCCCAGAAGTGTTATCAATGACCGAATAGGTTTGGCTGTTGTTTAAGTGGCTGTCTATTTCTGATTCATGTCTTTTGCTTACAGGCACTTAGCTGATAGAAGCCCTGTACAGATCCTAGTGATTATCTCTTGCAGGCCCTCAGGAAAGGGGTATTTTAATTGTTGGTTAAAATGGCTAGGTGTTTTATTATGATACCTACTATAAGTTTCGGTATGAGAGCAATAGTAGTTGATCATTTTTTCCTCTCTGGAAAATTTTTTAAGAATGGCTTCTTTCATTGCCATAGAAATATTCTTGCATAAGTCTTCGAGTGAGTCAATGTGTTCTAGAAAGTCTTCCACTCCTGGCATTGGAAGTTACATTTCCTTACTACTATTTTAAGCAAGATGTCATTAAAAAGACAATGAATGCTCAATTGTAGGGAGCGAGCAGGTATATAAAAGTAACAAGAATAAAAATAGAAGGAATCCGTAATAATGATAAAGTCGTCATGCTTCTCCTATTTCCTTTGCTTAGAGAGTGACAGAACCTCATGTAGGTAAGCACACTCTTGTTGTCACGGGACTCTGGGGTTTGAATAAGTGTGACCTGACAGTGGGGCGACTTGATTACCTCTAATGTGCTCAGATCCTTTGTGTTAATGTTAGCAGAGTTCTTCTACTGAGAGGGATCGGAGACAGTAGATCACAGATCCCTCCTGTGCGTGATGTGAGTCTCTCCTCTTGCTCCCCTCTCTAGTGTTTGCTCATTTAGTGGGAGTGGTGTCGAACGCAGGAGAGGGTTAATATGACCCAACCCAGCAGTAGTCTGGTAGGGTGTGGGAAACAGAGGCAGGCTGTATCATGGGAGACAGTAAGTATCCCAAGCTGACCATGGGTGGTCAGAGACCTAAATTGGGTGTCTGTGCTGAGGTCACCTAAATTTCCAAGGCATGGACAGATAGGCTCGCCCTTAACCTGTACATCTCCAGTTAAAGGCAGTGTCTGGGTGTACAGAGGAGGTCAGACCCCCGCAGGCGTAATGCAAATGGGGGTTTGGCCCACACAGCCAGCTGCTGGGGAAAGCCCAGGAGAGCAGAGTGGAAGAGGGTAGGGTGGAACCCCCACAGTGGACAGACAGAGGCAGGAGGCCCCCAGAGCTGCAGGTCTGCAAGGCGGGCATGTGTGGCTGCTGTTGGCCTTGCCAGGGGGGTGACAGGCCTCCTTTAGGGACACTGAGAGGACTGGGGAGGGGCCGACTGGTGGAGGCGATCAGACATCTTAGAAGAATGCTCCCCAAGCTATTTCTCTGCTTTTTTACTTTTAGCTCAGCACCTGCACTTGCCTGCTCCCCAGGACCCCTCTGTGAAAGGGAGAGCAGCCCTTGGGAAGCCCTCCGAGACCCCAGCCTTGCTCACGCCGTGGAGGAGTGAGTGACACTGAGCAAGGAGGGGCTGCAGGAAGGTTCGGACCTGGCTTGGTGTGGGTCACCTGCCTCCTCTTGGCAGGAGAAGAATCCCTGGCTGCGGATGGACCTCAGGCGGCGGTTGATAACAGATGCTTTCAGAGATGAGCCTTAGAAAGAAGGGGGAGAGGGTGGGGAAGGAGTGCAAGGGGACCCTCTGTGGATAACCGTTCAGATGCTGCAGACGAAGTTGATGTAAACTCACAGAATTCCTCTTCATCCGAGGAGTCTTCAGATGTCAGAATTCGCCGTGTCTGTGTTACAGGTAGGGCAATGGAGGCCCGAGGAAGCAAAGCAGGCTTGCAAGCTCCCAAGTTTATCTTGGCTTCATTTTCTTTCTTTTCTTTTCTTTTCTTTTCTTTTCTTTTCTTTTCTTTTCTTTTCTTTTCTTTTCTTTTCTTTTCTTTTCTTTTCTTTTCTTTTCTTTTCTTTTCTTTCTTTCTTTCTTTCTTTTTTTTTACAGGCAGAGTGGACAGTGAGAGAGAGAGAGACAGAGAGAAAGGTCTTCCTTTTTGCTGTTGGTTCACCCTCCAATGGCCGCCACGGCCGGTGCGCTGCGGCAGGTGCACCGCGCTGATCCGAAGCCAGGAGCCAGGTGCTTCTCCTGGTCTCCCATGGGGTGCAGGGCCCAAGCACTTGGGCCATCCTCCACTGCACTCCTGGGACACAGCAGAGAGCTGGCCTGGAAGAGGAGCAACTGGGACAGAATCCAGTGCCCCGACCAGGACTAGAACCCGGTGTGCCGGCGCCGCAAGGCGGAGGATTATCCTGTTGAACCGTGGCACCGGCGGCTTCATTTTCTAAAGGGCGACAGTTACCAGGTCACCTCAGGAGACTTACTGCGAGCCAACCGTCGGCAGAGAAGGCAAGCCCGGTCATTCCCGCAAGATCCGTCTGCCCCTTTGGCAGTGGCCATTTGCCCATTCCCAGGACGACGTTGCCATGGACAGTGGGGCCATCTGGAGGGCTGAAGGAGGTAGCAGAAGTGACAAACCAAAACTTGCCGAGAGATTCCGAGAGGGGAGCTCTAGGAAGAAGCAAGGCGTTTCTTTGTCTTTTCCTAACGGGCCTTTCGGGGGATTTTCATGTCACACAGTCTCGCATCAGCAGAGTCCTCTTACAGATCCTTGGCTTCAAGGTCATGGGGTGGTGCAGGTTTGGATGGGAATTTGTGGGATGGGCTCTGGGTTCGCCCACGCTGAGCTCTGGGTTGAGGTGACAGATGTTCCCTGTCCTAGTCATCGGTGTCACACAGGGATGGAAGGGGGGAGGGAAGGAGGGAGGAACTTATAGCTTGAAAATGCTCAGGGCCAGTGCTGTGGCGAAGTGGGTTAATGCCCTGGCCTGAAGTGCCGGCATCCCACATGGGCACCGGTTTGAGACCCCGATGCTCCATTTTGGATCCAGCTCTCTGCTATTGCCTAGGAAAGCAGTAAAAGATGGCCCAAATCCTTGGGCCCCTGCACCCATGTGGGAGACCCGGAAGAAGCTCCTGGCTCCTGGCTTCAGATAGGCACAGCTCTGGCCGTTGCGGCCAATTGGGAAGTGAACCCATCGGATGGAAGACCTCTTTTCCTCTCTGCCTCTCCTCTCTCTGTGTCACTCTGAATTTCAAATAAATAAATAAATCTTTTTAAAAAATGCTCGTGGAAAATGGCATTAAAAGATAAGTTGGATGCAAACAATTTTTTGAACCTGTATTTTTTTATAGTATGCATTTTTCATGAAACGTTCAGAAGACTACTCCAATGGATGGATTTCAAAATTTTTTTTTGCATCCAAAGAAATTTGTCATTTTTTCAAAAACAAATTATCTGAAAGGCAGAGTGATGGGGTGCAGGGGGTGGGGAGAGATGGAGCGACACAGAGAGATCTACCTGCTGGTTCACTCCCCAAATGGCTGCAAAAGCCAGGGCTGGACTAAGCCCAAGCCAGGTGCCAGAAACTCCATCTAGGTCCCCAGTGTGGGTGGCAGGGATACAAGCACTTGGGCCATTGTCCACTGCCTTCCCAGACACAGTATCAGGAAGCCGAATAGGAAGTGGAGAAACCGAGACTCGAAGCTGCACTCTTGCACGGGACGCTGGCTTTGCAAGCAGCAGCTTAGCGTGCTACACCACACCACAGCCCTGAGACTTGCCTTTTAATGTTGTTTTCTCCATGAACTTTTTGAAGTCCCCCATTTGATATATTCTTAGAAAAACAACCTGAAGGGCAAGCAGTGGCTTTAGCTTCCTGGAGGGAATTTATAGTTTAGGCCACTGAGTTCCAAAGTGCAGCTGTACAGTCAAAACACTTGAAGAACTTTACAAAAACACTGTGCCTGGGCTCCGTTCCCAGTGGGCCTGGGGTGGAGCCCGAGCAACCACACTTGGAGAATCTCCCCTGGAGACTGCAATGTGCAGCCAGGGTTTGCAGTCATTGTTCTAGGAGGATCCCTGCTAGCATCCAGGAACAGCTGTTCGGAATAGGGGCTTTGGCCAGCGAGGGCTTTTCTCTGTGCAAGTGTTGGGGACTGGTGTGAGAAGCAGAAGGGCAGAGGGCAAACAGGATGACCATGAAAAGGCCCTGCCCACTGACATGGGAGAGGGAGCTTTCATTCCACAATTGGGGTTCAGGCAGTAGAGCCCCAGCTGGGAGCACGCCCGGCTCTTGACTCTCCTGATGTAGTTTCTGAGCTGTGTGATCTGAGGCTTAGTCTCCTGGATTGACCTACCCCGAGGAAGGGAGTGCCTTGTGCAGGCAGCTGGGCTCAGCTCTTGGGCCAGGAATACAGTAGAACCTTACATAACCCTGCCGCTGAGCTGTTGCAGGGGAACGCCTGCCTGCCTGCCTGCCTGCCTGCCTGCCTGAGCGAAAATGCTTAATGAGAGATGAACAATTAATGGGCTGAGAGTGGAGTCTGGTGCGTAGGGGCCCAGGGGCGTCACAGCAGTGTTCATCCTGACTCATCCACGGCTCATG